ATTTTAAGTTGTGCAAACCAAACAGCTTTCCTATACTGCTCTGACAAAATTGCAAAAAGATACCAAAGACAGAAACAGCTAGAGCCCCGTTTCTCACCAACACGGTCTATTGGTAGTAATATTTTGTGTATTAATATTGCCATCTCATGCAAAGTATTAGCAGCCCCTTCTTGACTTATAGAGGCAGAGGTATCAGTACTAATGGAAGTAGAGTTATCAGTGCCTTTAAAACTAATCAGAGTTAAGAACCAATTTGGAAAACTCATCCTTGCGACTTTGAATCTCTAGAACAACTCTTGGTACCAAATGTCCAAGACTCAGTTCTCTAAAGAAGAAAAACCAGAGAAGTGTATACATGTATATATACAGAGAGGTTTAAATCAAAGAAATGGTTCACACAGTTCAGGCTGGAGGCAGACTTCTGGGCTCAGAGAGGAATTAATCCAAGGTTAGCAGGTAAGATGAAAGGCCGCTGACAAATCTCAAGATCAGCAGACAATACAGTAGGCCACTGGTTCAAATCCAAAAAACAAGCTGTATTTAGGGTCCAGATCCAGCAAAAGCAATCAAGTTTTTCCACGGCATTCATTTATATTATAAACGGGCCACATCATGGATATTATGTCTTAATTACAAAACCACTAAGAACCCTTACCAAGTTGACATAAAACGATCATAACTAGTAGTATGTAAGTCATATCACATCTCTTCTTGAAATACTCCAATATTGGCCTCCATCTCATTTGGGGTAAAAGCCAAATTGTCTCCAAATTGTCTAAAAGATCCTACATTACATGCATCCCTCCCCAACTTTCCTATTTGATTTTCCTTTGCATATAACCCTAACTTTGCTACCTCTCCTCCAACAAACTAATCTCTACCAGGCCCGGGGTTCTTGCCTCCTCACCTGTGTCGCCGCCCTAATCCCATACTTTTTTTCCCTCAGTGTCCAAAACAATGCCCTGCTAGCAAACGCTCTGAACATTTGTTGCACCAATAAATGTATTTCTTCTCATTTATTTTACATGGGAAACAATATTTTAAAAGAAGCAAAAGTAGAAATTTTAAAGTTGGATGTAAATTCCATTTACACTGCTCCTCACTTGTTGACATGGATTCCAAAGATTAGGTAGTTACGCAAATATTGATGTTATTTGAAAATGGAGGATGACTGCACACAATTGCCAAATTCAATCATGATATATCTGCCAGATTATCATAATGCTTAACTATCAAACCACGGAGAATAGTGGCTCTGCCGAGTTAACACAGCCTTAACCAGCACAGCAAGTGTTACTGTCTCCCCAAACGTCAGTGTTTGGGCATACATAATGTGCAAAACAGTCATGTGGTAGATTTTTTACTATTGTTGTAATTTAGTATTAGTTATAATTCTTGGGGCTTAGTATATTTTGTGTGTTTATAAAGTTCTATATTCTCTCTGTAAATTTACTATTTTTTAAAATCATTTTACTAGGGGCTCATACAACTCTTATCACAATCCATACACACATCAATTGTGTAAAGCGCATTTGTACATTCATTGCCCTAGATCAGAAGAAACCATTTCCTCTCCACTTAAGCCCCCGGCACCTGGTCCTCATTTTTCCCCTCCCTCCCCACTACCCCCTCCCTCATGAGCCCTTGATAGTTTATAAATTGTTATTTTGTCATATCTTGCCCTGTCCGACGTCTCCCTTCACCCACTTTTCTGTTGTCCGTCCGCCAGGGAGGAGGTCACATATAGTTCCTTGTAATCGGTTCCCTTCTAAATTTACTATTAACAAACTGATAAATCGTGGAAAATTAAATCCTAATCCATATATATATAACTGTAACAAGTTACTGAAGGTTAAGAACACAAAGGTAAAACAACACTCTAGTTAGATAAATAATAGCATAAGAAAACACCACAAATGAGAGAGAAAGCCTAAAAGGTCAGTAATTTTTGGCAGATTCAGTAGTTTGAAAGAACATAATCTGAAATGAATTAGTTTCTACTTTAACTGCCCAGTATTGAAGTATTGATTTGGACAAAGTAGTAACAAAGCAGCAACTGTGGAGTGTTAGATTGTAAGACATGGCTGCCTTGTGCAACATTCTGAAAAACAATTCAGTGGATACAAGAGGTGAATGCTATTTCACACCAAGTTCTTCATTTGCAACTTACTCACCTGAAATTATTGGTTTGTTAATGAGTTCATCTGCTTAAATTAAATTATTTCCATTACATTGCATCAATACTAGTGCTCAATTCAATTGCTCAAACATGGGGTTTTTTTGGATGCAAGAAAAAAATCCCATGATGTTTATATATATATATATTTGTTGTGATCCTCCGAAATTATATTTTGGATGCTTATAAAGTTCTATATTAGTAAAGCAATAAATTGTATATTAACAAGAGCTACTAGCTGATTTGTCAAAATGTTTATTGGTGGCTTCCATTCTGAGATTTCGATTTTGTCCACTTGCAGGGAGGACCAGGAACCTGCAAGTGCTTTGAGGCCGGTGGCTCAAAGATCACATTAACGAAAACTCGACTCGCTGCTATTTTCCTTTTTTTAAAAAAAATCATTTTATTGGGGGCTCATACAAATCTTATCACAATCCATACATACATCCATTGTGTCAAGCACATTTGTACATTTGTGGCCATCATCATTCTCGAAGCACTTGCTCTCTGCTTGAGCCCTTGGTATTAGCTCCTCATTTTTCACCTCCCTCCCTCATGAACCCTTGATAATTTATAAATTATTATTTCGTCATCTCTTACACTGTTCGACGTCTCCCTGCACCCACTTTTCTGTTGTCCGTCCCCCGGGGAGGAGGTCACATGTAGATCCTTGTAATCGGTTCCCTCTTTCCAACTCACTCTCCCTCTACCCTCCCAGT